ACTGAGGATACACTCCCAGTGTGGGGATTGTAAGCTCTCTCTCTCTCTCTCTCTCTCTCTCTCTCTCTCTCTGTCTCTCTCTCTCTGTCTCTCTCTCTCTCTGTCTCTCTCTCACTTTAGAATTCTGTTCTTTATCCTCTACTGAGTTGAAATCTCAGTATCTACCGTACACCAGTCGATTTTGAAGCTGTTCCATAAATCAAGGGGATGCTTCTGTCCCATGATGAATGAGAAAAGCAGTAGAAATTTCTCAACAGACAAGATGGCAAATGGGGCTAGAACCATCTGATGTTCTGGCTGGGGTTGGAGAACCATGCCCATTCCCTTGGCTGTTGGCTGGGTAACTCAGTCCCTTTACTCATAGGTGTCTCTTAGAGTTATCTAGATGTTCCCATAACTTCTGCCTTCCTAAAGAATATATCGAGCCGGGTAGTGGTACACGCCTTTAATCCCAGCACTAGGGAGGCAGAGGCAGGCAGATCTCTGTGAGCTTGAGGCCAGCCTGGTCTACAAGTTGAGTTCCAGGACAGCCAGGACTGTTACACAGAGAAACCCTGTCTCAAAAAGCCAAACAAACAAACAAACAAGAATACATTGAGAGGTTTGGGAATATCATTGAGTTGTTAGAGTAGCTTGCCCTGCATGCATAAAACCTTGGATTCTATCTATAGCAACACATGTACACACACACACACACACACACACACACACACACACACACACACACCCCACACACAAAAAAGAGCTAGGAATAAGCCCAAATACCTATGGAGTATGAATCCCCCAATTTTGTTTTCAGAGTCACTTGAGACCTCTAAAAGGCTCTGATGATGGCATCTTATCACCCACAGGGTTCTGAGTGATTACATACCTACACATTAATGGCTTAAACGCTTAGTTCAGAATTATATCCTCTTACACATGTAAGCCTTTTCTCTGTGTGAAGGTGCAAACACTTCAGAGTGGGTCACCATGGCAAGGACGGGGTGAGAAAGTACATTCTGAGGTGTGTGGGAATGCCCTAGAAAGAAAATGTCTAGAAATGAAAGGATTTGGATTTAACTCTCCTTTGTGACCAAGGCAATGATGTTAATACCCATCTTAATAAGCCCCTACCTTGCCCCTAGTCTCATAAAACCCTCAAAGAGAAAATTCTTGAAAGGTACATCTTCTCCCTTCTAACACTTGGCCGGGTGTGAGAGGTCCTGGGAACGCAAAATAACCATGGATCTGCATAGGCATTAAAAAGTATGACTGCAATGACGGGCCACACCACAGGTGTCTTACAGCTTGCATATTTATTGAACCAATACTACTAAAATAGCTCCAATACATTGGGTACTTACGAGAGCAACAGTAAGGACCACATGTTACAAAGGCTGCGTCTCCAGCGGTGCGCAGCTGCAAGTCTACATAAATGCCACAAATGCACAATACTGTTTTCTTGCTCTATTTACATATCTGATATATCTATCCTAACAAAGGTGGGGGGTAGGAGGGGGGGGGATGCACGAGAAACTCAGGCCAGTGGGAGGAGCGAGAAGAGAAGGAAGAAGGACAGTGCATGCGTCATTGGTGTTTAACAGTCAGAAGCGCAAACAGTTCAGAACAAGGCCTGCCCTGTCAAAGGAAGAGCTAAAGACGTTATATAAAAATTAAGGTGGGCTTTCAGTCTGGCCAACACAACAACATTCCGTGAAGAGATGGCATTATCGGATTTTATTTTTGTTTATCCATTTCACTGGGAGCAAGGACAAAAATGTAAACTCTACACCTTGCTTATCAAAACTGCCCCCCAAAAAGGTGTTTTGCCTTTTATCAACGTCATCATTATCATCATTTTCTAAAGACATTTTTTCCAATTTCAACTTTGGGACAGGTATAATTTTCAAATTCCTACTCGGATGTCAGTACTTGGATTTGTTTTTCCCACATGGCACTTATTGAAAAAGAGTGGACCTTTACCCCCCTGAATACCAGTCAAACAAAAAGAATCCAAAGAGATACCTCGAGATGCCTGGGGAATTATTGCTTTTCTTTTTTCTAAGTCAGGCAGGTGAGGCTGCAGAACGGAAGAGTTCTGGTAGGTACATTACAGTTTTGTGATTGCTCCCGCTAACGTGACTGCACATCCACCAGAGCCAGCCATGAGGGGACAGCCCCTCACCCTCCTGGTAGCATCCGCTCAACCTACAACACTGAAGAAGAAAGCCACACTGAAGACACAAGGAAAACAAGACGATCCAGTCTAGAGAACAACATTCGGGGAAACAGAGTACCAACAACACCTTCTCAGAACATGGAAATAAAAAATAACTCCATCAGAGCTACCTCGCCAAGGAGCATGTTGAAAGTCCAAAATAGCACCATTCATCAGTGTCTCAGGTCCTGTGGCAGCATCTCGGTCACTTACCACCAGGAAACAATGGGTTTCAAACTACTTCTATACATCAAAAGAGTACATGGATAAAATATAGATATACAGACAATTGATGAACATAAACTACTAGGCTTGTTACATCTAAGTGAGAAAAAAAAAAGTGGGGGGACTCTCAGCCTCTGCAAGAAGCCGTCGGGAGCCACGTGATGAAAAGGTGGGAGTGGACCAGTCATGTGAGAGCAGAGGGAGTCTGAGTTGTGGAAGACATTGTTGTGGCGAACCAGGCCTGAGGGCCCACCTGTGGGGGGTTGTAAACGTGGATTCACAGTGTGAAATTCTGAGTATTTTCACTTGCGTCTGAATGATTAGAAACTGTTTTGATGATACCTATTTGTCCACTGTAAATTCTCTAAAGCAAGGCTTAGAGTCCCATAGTTTCTTCTTATATTTGATGATTTACACAGAAAAAAAAAAAATCCCATATATGATACCAAGACCTCATCAAAACCCCATACACCATATGCAATACAAATGGAGGTGTTACAATTAAAAAAAGTAGAGGTAACTGATATTCGGGGAGCAGAACTCATGGCTGCCTGGTGGAGTCAGAGAGGCAGCGCTGGTCTCCTCCATCTTCTTATGGTTCACTTCCTTTGGCACAGGAAGTCTTCCCTGCAGGGAACACAGACAGAGAGACAGACAGACATACACACACAAAGATATACTTAGTCACTTTTTAAACCATTTGAAACTTTTTTTTTTGCTTCTTCTACCCACTTTTATCCTTGAACTTGTGCTATTTTGCAAACAGTTTATATATTAACAGTATTCCCTTGAATGTAAATATTAGGTCAGTGGGCGGTGAAGCAATTAAAGACCAGCTTTCCTTTGCTTGTGCAGAGGCAAGTGTTTCTGTCATGGTGGTGGCACTGTTCCTCAGAGTCAGATCTCTGGGAGAGTTGCTAGTCCTAGACAGCACCCAGGATCAAACTGGATTGGGAATGCACATCAGAGTACCAATACACTTTTTAAAGATTTATTTTATGTGTGTATAAGCATTTGCCTGCATGTATGTACGTGTACAGCATGTATGTCAGTGTCCATGGAAGCCAGAAGAGGGTATTGGATCCCTGGAACTGTAGTTACAGATGGTTGTGAACCATGATGTGGATGCTAGGAACTGAACTCAGGTCCTCTGCCAGAACAAAAAGTGTTCTTAACCACTGAGCCATCTTTCTAGACTCCTATTTTTTTATTTTTCAGTGAGTGATGTGATGGAGGGCTGACAGTAGTCTATTTTCCATTACACAATAAAGACTTTAAATATCACGGTGCATAAATCTCCCTGCGTGAACTTTCTATAAGCAGCTGGCACACTTCATCTAAGCGCTAATGTCGGGACTAAAATGGTACCCAAGATCCAAGTGTTTGAGATGCACACAATGGAAGGGAATCCCAGATGGCAGCTGTAGGAAAGAGAAGGAGAGTGGGAAACTACATCCAGAGGATGGTGAGATTCAGGCAGCCTAGAGCTCAAGTCTCTCCTTACAGAGCTGACGACTGAGATGACGGCCCCACGGATGGCTGAGGACCACCGCTGTGCCGCGTCGGCTGACACACTGATGGGGAAGTGCAGCCCCCACCAGAACCCAGCAGCAAAGAGAGCAGGACAGCGGGGACCACTGAGCAACTGACACAAAAACTTCATTCATTCGAAGAGGAAGACGGCATGCCCCATCCAGACACCCTCACAGTGAAGACGAAGGTCTCTCTTAATTAAACCGTTACTTATTGGTGTTTTCTTAGGGAGGAAATAGCCTTTGTGGGTTTTAAGTGTTTCTTTTCTTTTTTTCTTTTTCTTTTTATCTTTTTTCCTCAGGTTATAGGTTCTAACAAGAAAGTTTCAGTGAAGTTACCTGGATGGAAGTGCTTGGATTGAAGTGATATTCTGATTTTGTGACTTGTAAATTATCACATTTGAATCTATATTGAGGATGAATTTGGGAGGCAGGAACTTCCAAACAACCTGACACATTTGAATCTATGTTGAGGATGAATTTGGGAGGCAGGAACTTCCAAACAACCTGAAGCTGAGTACTATTTCCAGTAGCCTCAGGGTAGATCACACAAGCTGAAGAAACAACACCTACTGCGTTCGACACCCAGTGTGCCTACAACTTTGAAAGCATTTCCACGTATTCCCTATGTGAAACACACACAATGTGCCCCTTAACGATCCAGCCTAGGTTGTGATGGTGTTTTGGTATCAGTAAATAGCCAGAAAAATATAATTCTTCACACACCATTAAGGGTCTAAATAAAATTCCTCAAAGCATATTATTGGGGCACTCAATAATAGTGTGTAAAACATAGTAAAAATTAGTAGTTTTCAACCTTGAAATTTGGTATACAACCCACAAATTAAGAAAAGAAATCCATTGATATTTTCCAAGCAATGCCGCCACCTCATCTGACCAGTTAGTGCAGCCTTGAAACCGTTCCAAAGTCAGCACACTGCTGTGTCTTGCTTTATGAGACTCAGTACCACTAACCTTTGACCTCCATGGAAAACACACTATAAAATGAAAACCGAGAGCTAGGGAAGAGTATTTCAGATCTGAATTTAGCACTAGCATGACTTTGTCTCCCTCAGGCACTTCGTCACTCATTATGGTTCTGAATGCTTGCACTCATTACTGGATTTTGAACCTACAGAGAGAAACAGAAACCAAAACAGTCCCTACCCAGTCTGCCCTTAATTAACTTGTTCTAGGGGAGACACCCAAGTAACCGCATGACAGAAGACCATCAGTAGGTCATGCAGAGGCATGCTACTGAAAGACCTTGAGGGCTAATAAACTAAAACGCCTTCAAGGGGAGGAACTCCCAAAGAGATGGCTCTCTGCACCTCCTCCCTGGAGCCTGGATTTACTAGATTACAATCCTCTTCTTTGACTCCTACCATTCTGTTGTAAAGAACTGTCTGTGTCCAGCATACCTTTTCCCCAGAAGTCAGGCCTTAGGATAGTTGAGGTCAAACAGGCACCTTTCTCCATCATCCACACACACACAATGATTCTTGTGAGGCAGAGGGCCCTGAGTAATCTGCAAGTCTGAGGGTGGGGGCAAGCAGAGATGCTCCGTGTCCACAACAGGCCTGCTTTGCCAGAAGCTACCTCCAGATGGATAGAGTTCCTCCCAATGACTGCTGGCTCAGTCCCAGTTACTAAGTAATGTGCTTTGGACCAAGTATATTGAGATTATCTTTCATGCAGGTATGCAAAGGTGTGCTTTTCTAGAAGTTTCCTTCTGGACAAAGGACAAGTATATTGTGCTTAAAATACCACTGCATTTTTAGAGAAGAAATAACAAAAGAGCTGAGGGTGTGGCTCCAACTACCTACAGCGCCCACCCTAGAGCATGCTTTGACGGAGGCACAGAGTGAAGGGACGCACCACTGACCTCACACCTCACTGAGGACCCTCAGCTAGTCTTTCCCACTTGGTTGATATTGCCAACATCAAAGGCTGCTGTAGGGAGGGCTGATCCTTTTTCACCCTCAGCTGCTTCAGGGGAATTATGACCTGATTTGGCCCAGAAAAGAATGTCTAAGGACAAAAATACACATGTATATGTAGAAATAATTTTAAAGGGTGAGGCATGTAGCCAGTGGCAGAATATGTGCCTAGCATGGGTTCTACCTCTAGCACCTTCAAAGCAACAACAATAATAATAAATAATAGTAGTAATGAGGAGGAAGAGGAGTGGGTGATGGTAGTGTTAAATGGTTAGATTGCTACTGCTGTATGTGGTGGTGCTGGAGTTGTGGGGTGCGGATGAGTTCTGTACTTCAGTTCTTTTCTACTCCAGCTCAATAAGACTAGCACAAGTTGAGTTCCATCCGGTCCCATAAAATTCATTCCGTTCATCTGCATTTCTGCCAAAAGTTTCAACTTGACCTTCAGAAAGTCTCTGAAAGTCTAAAAATGACTTAGAATTGTTTTCTTTCCATGTCAACTGCCAGAGGACAGGACTGCGATTTCTAAAAATTCTGTCAATAATGGGAACTGCCTAAATCATTTAGTGTAAATCAGGTCATCTCATACAGGAAAATGACAGCAATGTTACATCTGGGGTGGTACCATTGCTCAATGACATGAAACTTTGATTTTGGGGGGTGGGAATAATATTGTATGTGTATGGGTCTTTGGCCTGCAACATGTCTGTGTACTATGAGCATATAGTGCCCACGAGGCCAGAAGTGGGCACTGGGTCCCCTGAAACTGGAGTTAAAGACAGTTGTGAGCCACCATGTAGATGCTGGGAATCGAACCCTTACCCTCTGGAAGAGCAGCAGAACTCTTAACCACCGAGCCATGTCTCCAGCCCCAAGAAACTGCTTAATGGAAATTTTATTTTCAATGGATTTTTTCTTTCTCGTGAAACTAGCTGATCAGTGCTAAGAAGCACAATCCTTCCATTGAAGGTCAAACTAATATTTACTGTAGTCCAAAGTATGTACAGGGAAAACTGGTGACTTACCTTGTAGGTTATGTTTTTAAAAATATGTTATTTCCAAGACCAGCACAGAATTATATTAGTGGGTGATTCTGGGAGTGTACAATGGACATTAAGATGAAATGGAGTAAGCCTGATCTATTTCTTTGTGTGTGTTTATGCTTCAAACTTGAAAACGGGGTTCACGGACAGCAGCTGGGGCTCTTACCTTAGTGAGACTTCCCTCCATTTCCTTGTATGGAAATGGTTCTTGGCTGACCCAGACCAAAAGTTCTGGGTAGTAAACCTATGGAGACATAAAAGCACACACATTCAAATCACAAGGTCCATCCTGAAACCACATGGCCTCACCCCCACAAGCTCAGTTCTCAAAGATGACTCTAGATTCTAGGCTGTCCTCTTGCCCCCCCCTCCCCCCACTGTCTGCTCAGAGCACCAGGAAACTCATTACATGTTTTCCCAATATGTACTGCACACAGAGAGCTTTGGCTAGTCTTCCAAGATGGAGTCCAACAGAGCAGAGATATCAATCGACGTTAGCTACAGAAGGCAAAGTGGCAGTTGAACGGCATGTATGGCAGGGTGCACTAAGGGGCCATGGAGAGCTTTCAAAGCATCTTCCATTCCATAAGTATCTTTGCAAGCCTCAATGTTTATGACATAACCATTCGGGTGGTGATCAACACTGTTAGGAGTTATCCTTCATTTATGAGAAGGTTGAAGAAGAGGAGGAGGGCAGAAATGTCTTCTATTCTCCCCAGCTCCATGCGGCCACTCACACCACACTGTATCCAGCTCCCCGAAGCAGCCTAGTATCTGAGAGAGGGGCAGGGAGCTGGGCAGCTGCGCAATGAATGATTCAGATAATAAGAGTTGATGAATTCTGAGGGTGGGCGGAGGTAGAGGGAGGGAGGCAAGCTGAGCAAGTCTTCTTTAAATATACAAAGGGTTATTAGCATAAGGCTGCTGACCAGCTGTTCTCTATTTCCAGAAAGCAAGATGGAGAGAATGGGGTGGGGCGGGGCGGGGGAGGCTTAAAACTACAAATTGCAGATTTAGGTCAGCTATAAGAAAGAACTTGGCACAAGAATCGTTAAATTACTAAATGAATTTAGAGTGGAAAACTGTGAAATCTTCTTTAAAAAAATTTAGAAACAGAATCCAACAGCCATCTGTCAGAACTAATTCACATTTGATACCGTACTGCCTGAAGAGAGGGATGAAATTAGAGGAGACGCCTTCCAGATCCAAGTTTTGTAAATAAGCCTCCTGTACAGTAACTATTAAGAAGCGTATCTCATTAACAGGTTAACGAAGAGACTCAGGAGTCATTCTCAGTTCTGGAAGTACTAATTGTTGAATTAGTGGTTAATATTTTGTGTGTCTCAATCAAGCTAGTTAGTCGGTTGGGGGTCTGAAGCAGGAAACGTGGATGGCTCATGTGTTCATTCTTTGGGATAACATAATAGTAACTGTTTTGCTGTTCTATCAGTGTTTATGACACATCATAGCCACGGCTCACAAAGTAACCGCATACACTATTTAATCGAGCCCGGCAGTAGGCCTATGAATAGGAATATTTTAATTTCACAGAGGGAAAAAAGGAAAACTCATAAAGGTCAGGACAACTTGCCCAAAGTAACACATCCTGGGTCAGGACTGCAACTCAAATTAGGTTCCTAGATCTCAGCTCTCTTCTTCCCAGTATGCTGGTGTCTCTCATTTCCCCTAAAGCAACATGTCTACTCTCTACCATCCCTCTCTCAAAACAATACCAGCCCACAGCTACCACCCACTTTTGGCTCTCAAAGACTTGAGGGCTCATCCTGTGAGAACCGTTTCCTCCCCTTGGAGTGTCGCTCCCTTCTGAGACATGTGCTTCCCTCCAGTCTCCCCACTTTCCTTTCACAGATCTTTCCCTCCTCTGCCCAGCTCCTTCTTAAAGAATGACACCATCTGCCTTCTTTGGGACAGGCAGCCAGTCTAGGCGGTCTCCCTAGCCAGAAAAGAGGGAATAAAATTACAATTTAAAATAAATAAGCCTTTTTTGGTTTCAAGGCATGTAACAAAAATCATAGCACATAAGATCCCAGGTTAGCTTGACATCCCAGTTTGACCCCAAACTGAAATCAGGAATAAGTTCACTTAATAGAAATTGACCTCAGTGACTGATACTTTTCAACACGCTCACTACAGTTTAAAAAAAAAAAAAAAATCAAATAGTGAGAAATGGTTTCCTCAGGAAGCAAAGGCAAAGTCAAGAAATGACATTTGTGATTGTGTGTTTCTCTGGGGATATTCCATTTTAACCAAGTCCCGCTGCTTTAGCGTTTAGCATATCCAAGCTACCAGAGCCTGTGTCAGCTAGAACAAGCAAAACCAACATTTGGTATAACATTCAGAACTTCTGGCAGGAGAGGCTGCTCGGGAGTAAGAAGTTCTGGGAAGACAGTTACTCTTAGATGCAAATCCAGGAACAGACTGATGGCAATGT